TTCGAATCCCTAGTGCCGCTTAACGGAGTGAGCTCCTGTTACTTGTCCCAGCTTCTCCCAACCTAGCAGTTTGAAAGCATGTAAAAGTGCAAGTAGAAAAATAGGAACCACCTTTGGTGGAAAGGTAACAGCGTTCCATGCGTCTTCGGCATTTAGTCATGCCAGTCACATGACCATGGAGACATCTTCGGACAGCGCTGGTTCTTCGGCTTTGAAAAGGAGATGAGCACTGCCCCCTAGAGTTGGGAACGACTAGCACATATGTGCGAGGGGAACCTTTACCTTTTTATAGTTTGAACCCCTAAAAGTTCAGGTTTGGGTTCTTTAAACCTTTGAAAACGAGAGCACATGCACATATAGGATGTGGTACAGTGGGCCTTGCTGAATCCCATGAAGGTGGTTTCTAAATCCTCCACCCACAACCCTGTTCCTAGAAACTTCTGTAAAAATCCAATTTGGTGGATGTGTGATTCATCAAGTCTTCATTGTGTTGATCAAGCTACGAGAACTAGAAGGAAGATGAAAATCGCAGGAGGGAAGTGCTGTTGCTTCTTGAGATACTGATCTCAACTACCTGTTCTCTCAACCGAGATCGTCTGTAACACCCCGCACTTAGAACTAAGTCCTAGCTCAAATTATACTTCCTAAACTACAGTAAATTAAAAACTTTATACATCTAGTTCTACCGGTCTTGAGCTTGCAGTCTGCTTCCCTGATCTCCAACTCAGATATTTACAGATTGGGGTTTCTTTTCTGAATTATCTTCCAGCCAGCCCTAAATAAGAGGTGGGAATGAAGGCAAACAGTATAAGCAACATAGACTTCTTTTTAAAAGCCCTGCCATGTGAAGAAAACTCCCAGCCCCATGCTATTTTGATGGCCTTCAGTTGTGCAGATTGTTCATAAAAGATGTCCCAACAGCAGTGGGCCAAGGACGAAATCTATGAAATCCCACTCAGAATTTCTAACATCGAATAAGAACAGTTTTTTTAGTGCAATTGATCAGTGTGTTGCAACGCCATGTATTATTTGTTGTTAGGGTTCAGTTACTAAGTCATGTCCAACTCTTTGTGACCCCATGGACCACAGCCCGCCAGGAACCTCTGTCCTCCATATCTCCCAGAGTCTGCCCAAATTCATTTTCATTGCATTGATTTAATTATTTAACCATCTCATCTTCTGCTATCCCCTTCTTTCGTCTTCAATCTTTCCCAACATCAAGGTCTTTTCCAATGACTCCTCTCTTCTCATTAGATGGCCAAAGTATTTGAGCTTCTGTCCTTCCAAGGATCAGTCAGGGTTTCCTTTAGGATTGACTGATTTGATCCCCTTTCATCCAAGGGACTCTCAAAAGTCTTCTTCAATAAACACAATTCAAATTGTGTTGAACATACATAAATGGGGTGTCAAACACAAGGCTCGTGGGTCTCATCTGGAGGGGTTAAACCGACCCTACAAACAAACCGGAAGTCCATTCCCGAACTTCCGGTTTGCCCATAGGGCCGGTTTTTGCGCTCCGGAGAGCCTCGTGGGGGGGGGCTCTTTTCGCCCTCCCCAGGCTCCTATAAAGCCTCTGGAGCCTGAGGAGGGTGAAAAATGGCTTTAAAAAAGGCTGAACTCAGCTGGCCAGCGCGCGCATGCGCACTGGCCGGCTGACAGGGCAACGCCTCGTGTGCCCTGACAAATGGCTCCGCGTGCCACCTGTGGCACGCGTGCCATAGGTTCGTCATCCCAGGACTGAGGCATTCACTTGTTAGGCCAATATGATCATTTTATCATAAAAAAGAAATCAGGCTAGATCCAATGTGGGTCGGTCACTGGGACCAGAGGTTTATTGTTCAGAGGAGGAGTAAACTCTGCTCTTGGTGACTGACCCAGATTGGATCTTGAAATATTATCCTGGGTGCACATATTTGCCTTCATTCATGAGAGATTGGTTGGGAAAAACCTTCCTGGCTCTTGGTAATGATAGCAATAATACTTAGAGTTATGTACTGTTCCTTGGTGCTTTACAGCCCTCTCTAAGTGGTTTTACAGAGTCAGCGTATTGTCCCCAACAATCTGGGTCCTCATTTTACCAACCTCAGAAGAATGGAAAGCTTATTCAATCTTGAGCTGGACAGGATCAAACTCCTGGCAGTGGGAAAAGTCAGCCTGCATTCTAAATACTACACCACCACAGCTCCTCGTGAGAGCATTTTTTTCCTGAGTACCTGCAGACAGATTGTGTCTGAAATGGTTTAGCCCCTTACCAATATACCTGTGTAACAACTAACATCAGTTAGTTATTAAACTAACTGTTATTACTTTCCCAAGTTTCTTCTGTACCCCTTTTTGAGGATGGGACTAGAGTTGCTTGAGTCTAATCATCCAGCACTTCCATCTGTTCTCCAGGACTTTCCAGCATTGAATTCCATGTGTTGTCTTTAGGTAAAAACCTCAAGGATTGTTCACCTTTCTTCTACATTGCTGGAGTAGCTCATCTTTTCCCCTTTAAAAAAGACACCGCTGTGGGGGGAAAAGAAAAGGGGAGAAAGGAAGAGTGCCATCAAGTTCATCCTGATTGAAATTGGGAATGGGGAACCGAAGGAAAAGTTGGCAGTATGAAATGTTGCATTAAGCTGTCAACTGTGGTTGAGAAATGACAGGTATCCCCTCCCCCCTTCTCTCTTATACACAGAGAGATACATGCAACACACACACGCACACACGCACACACATTTTAGCATGTATAAGATGTGGTTTCTCTCATCAGTGTAGGCTGAAATGTAGCTGGTTAAAATAACAGTTTATTTTTTTTAAATGTCTTGGCGAGAAGCAATGTCCCCAAAGCGATATGGTCAGGGAGTTACTGTTCTTTGTCTTGCTTATATCTGACAACTGTGGTTCTTCCTGTTCCATTATAAATTTCATTTGAGAGGGAGGGAGGGAGGGAGGGGGGGGGGAAAGGAGAGGGGTATCCAGCTAGTAGAAAGATATAAATGAAAGTCCCTCCTGCTACATTTTCTTTTCTTTTTAACACCCCCTTTTGTCTTACTTCTGTTTCCCTTCCTTTTCACTTCCTTTGGGGTGGTAATTTACCTTCTGCTCACTTTGTAAGAATGTACAGGTAGTCCTCAATTTATAACAGTTCATTAAGTGACCGTTCAAGGTTGAAAACTGACAAAAATTGACATAGGACCATTTTTTTCACACTTATGACTGTTGCAGCATTCCCATGATCACACGATCAAAATTCAGATGCTTGGCAACTGGCATGTACTTATGACAGTTGCAGTGTCCCAGGGTCATGTGACCATCTTTTGCGACTNTTTGTTTGTTTGTCTCTTTTAAATGGAATGCACCTGGTTGAGTAATGAAATATCTGCAAGCAAACAACTGTCCTCAAAGAGTACCAAGAATGCTGTGGTAATTTCTGTTCTTTCCGTTCTTTAATCATACAGCATTGGAAGAGGAGGCCAACCCAAAGTTCTATTTGATTGATAATATAGGTTTGAAGACATTATTACATATTCAAGCTACACTGACTTGCCTATGAAGCTCTTTTTTTCCCTGATTCAAGGAAATATTCATGAGTTCTTGGCAGCTGCTTGGAAAAGGATTTGCCCCTCCTGCTAATTTTCAGCACCAGAGATCTTTGCCCTTCAATGCAAAATCTATAGAGCAAAACCAATTATGAGCCTGCATATTAAAAAAAGGAAAGGATTAGGCATTCAATTTCTACTCAGACTACTGAATTAACACATTTTTTTTCTTGATTCATATAGTACTATTATAAATTCAAACAATGGGTTGAATTTATCAAACAGAATAAGCCAGAATAAACTATCAATTATTTAGATATTTCAGAAGTGTAGCTGCTAGATTTATGACCTTCCTGGTTAGCTTGTATGATGTGAATACAAGTGTTATTGTTTTCCTTGAAAAGTTTGTCTTTGAAATACAGCATCAGATCACAGCCTAAGAAAGTTGTGAGTTGAGCACGATAGTTTCCATTCCAAAAAGCAATTTTCACTGGAAGTTAAAGATTCTAGTCCCTATGATTGCAAAGACGCATCTGGAGAGTCTGTGTACTGGTGCTGTTGATTCAACAGAATGTCCTGTGGTCAGGCTGCAGTTCCTGTTCTTTTTTTGTTGACAAAACAGGAATCTATACTTATAGATTAGTTCTATAAACAAATGTTTTTTTTTTAATATTCACGATTTGTACTGTAAGTAATTGTACTGTTTGATTTACTAAGAGCGAGTTTTGAAGGATAAACATCCCCACCCATATTTATCAATTTCTCTGTCACCTGCCTGCTGTATGTTGTTTGCAAGGGATGCCAGTGCGAGGTTTCCCTTCGCAAAAGGATGTTTGAATTGGCAATAGCCGAAATGTCAGTGCTAGTCAAATAGCAGATGTACTTGGACGTCAAGTTTCCTGGGTGATCTTTTTTTTCCAGATTAATCTCAGACAGACTTGACCTATGCACGGCTCTGGCAGATTCTACCATATTAGTTCAAAGTTAAAATAACATTTATGGAATGCTGATCTAAAATGATGATTAAATAAAGCAAAGCAGTTTTTAATGAAAAAAATGCATATTTCCGAAACAATTAAGCAATGTTGGTTTAATTTGGAAAGCATTGACCTTTTCCTGGGTTCATTTATCAGGCTAAGCAAACAAAGTGAGTTCATTGTGGTTTGTAAGCTACATTTATGGTAGTTGAGCACAAATTAGAGCTTGCCAAAACTGCATGCAGCCTGCAGACCAGTGTGTGTGTGAGTGAACTAAATTGTAACTAACAACATAACAAGAGAGGAAATGTAATAAATACATAACTGGAGAATGATTGCCTCGTTCACTAATTTTTGGAGCCTCCCATCGATATAGCATTTGTAAACCAAGTGGGTTAGTCCAGAAAAAATGTGAGCATCTCTACATTATAGCTAAGTACATTATTTGACAAAGTGCTCTAACACACAAGCCCCTTACAAATTTCCATGGAACATCACAATGCAAGTACAGAAGAGGCAGAATTTGTATCACCTTAAAGGTAATCCTTGAGGTATGACTACATTTGGGTCCAGAATTTTCACTGCTAAACTAGGCAGTTGTTAAGGGAGTCACACGTGACTTTATGACCTTTTTTTGGCCATTGTTCACAATAAGTGAATCATATTGTCATTAAGTGAATTGGTTGCTAAATGAACAATTGTAAGTTGAGGGCAAGTTGCTTCTCTCCTTGATTGTTTCCAATCTGTTGTTTCTTGTCTTGGCTTCTGATGCTTTGGAGAATAGTTTGACTCCCTCTTCTTTGTGGCAGCCCCTCAAATAATGGAACACTGCCGTCATGTCACCCCTAGTCCTTCTTTTCATTAAACTAGACATACCCAATTCCTGCAACCGTTCTTCATATGTTTTAACCTCCAGTTCCTTATTGTTCTC